GTTGTGCATGGTCCTTCTGGGTTGCCTTCACCAAAGCAACTTGACAAGGTAATTTGATATGAGAGAGAGGATATTATGGTTTATTAGTATATTATAAGAATAATATATTAAAGGAGAAATCATATTTATTTAATTAGTATTAGTCATAAATTAATTAGAAATTAATTTGGTGACTAAAAGAGATTAATTAAATAAAGGGGTATAAACTGTCAAATGTGTGATAGTTGGATTTTGGGCTAGGAAACCTAATGGACAAGAGGGGGAACGAAAATATGATGAAAGGATCATCATATTTCGTCCAAGGCCCTATTCCAGAAGGTTCCTTGGGCTGCTTGGTGGCTAAGCTGTCCATTAGGGTTTAGACTGAAACCCTAGTAGCCTGCAAGTATAAATATGACCCCTAGGCTATGGAAATCGGCTAGACATTATTCCAAGAGAAACCCTAGGCCGATTTCTAGCATCCTCCCTCCTCTCTCTTATTTCCTTCTTGCTACTTGGTGTTTGTGATCCATTAGAGGAATTACAATTGTGATTCTAAGCTCAAACAAAGAAGATTCAAGCTATTTGAAGAGGTAAACATCTAGATCTGATGTTGTTTGTTATTTTGATAATATGTATGCTAGTTTAGGGTTTGCAAGACTTGGATTCAAAGCATGTACAATAGAGAAACCTAGATCCAAGCATTAGGGTTTGTATGAGCACATAGGATTGTTTCTTATGCATAAAACGCATCAGTTCTTTTGGTGCTCTTTCAATTGTCGAGATGCATATGTTATCACTTTATCTCTTTGGGTTAGAATACAACCTAACCCAACTCCAGATGCATCACTATAGACTGCGAAGTCTTCAACTCCATCAGGTAAAGAAAGAATTGGTGCTTCACATAACTTCTTCTTTAGCTTCTCGAATGATTCTTCGTGTTTCTCACTCCATATATATGTAGCTCCTTTATGGGTCAAAGTTGTCAATGGAGTAGCTATCGAAGAAAAACCTTGGATAAATCTTCGGTAATATTCAGCTAATTCCAAAAAGCTTTGAATATCCATGGGACTTTTTGGTCGTTCCCACTTCACCACAGCTTCAATCTTTGCTGGGTCAACCATTATTCCCTCTTGGTTAACCACATGACCCAAGAATTGGACTTCTCGAATCCAAAAATAACATTTAGAGAACTTTGCATACAACTTCTCCTTTTTCAAAACTTCTAATACCTCTCATAGATGCTTGCCATGCTCCTGCTGGCGCTTTGAGTAAACCAGAATGTCATCTATGAACACTATCACGGATTTATCAAGGAATGGATTACAAACCCTATTCAACAATTCCATGAATTATGTTGGAACATTGGTTACTCCAAATGACATAACTAAGAACTCATAGTGTCCGTATCTCGTTCTGAATGCAGTCTCCTCAATATCTTGCTCTCTCACCTTCAACTAATGATATCCTTAACTGAGATCGATCTTTGAGAAATAAATCGAACCTTGCGTCTGATCGAATAGGTCATCAATCCTTGGTAATGGGTACTTGTTCTTTACCGTTGCCTTGTTCATCTCTCTATAGTCTATGCACATCCTTATGCTTCCATCTTTCTTCTTCACGAATAACACCAGAGCTCCCCACGGTGATGAACTAGGTCTAATGAAATCGGTGTCCAACAACTCCTGAAGTTGCATCATAAGTTTCTTCATCTCCGTCGGTGCTAATCGGTATGGTGCTTTCGCTATTGGTCTTGATCCTGGTAACAAGTCTATTCGAAGCTCTACTTTTCTATCAGGGTGCAATTAGGAAGATATTCGGGAAAGACTTCCAGATAGTCACACACCACTGGTATTCTTCGTATCTCCTTCTTCTCCTTCTTTGCATCGATCACAAATGCCAAGTATGATGCACATCCTTTAGAAAAATATTTTCTGGCTTTCATCAGGGAAATGATTCCAGAATTCACTCTACATTTGTCCCCGTACACCATAAATGAATCTTTTCCAGGTGGGTTTACTCTTACTATCTTCTTCTTGCATAGTATCTTGGCATTGTTGGCGCTAAGCCAATCTATTCCCAATACGATGTCGAAACTATTTAACTCAATGGGTAACAGCTCCTCGTGGAATTCGTTTTCATTCAAGTTGATTACGATGTTTTAAATGCAATCGTTAACAGGTATGAATTTTCCATTGGCAACTTCTACAACTAGAGCATTATCAAGTTTATCTACAGGAAATGCTAGTCTTCCACCAAATTTGTGTGATATAAAGGAGTAATTCGCTTTGAAATCAAACAATATATTGGCAGACAATCCATTTAAGAGAAAGGTACCTGAAGCGACATCTGCTGCATCCTTTGCGGCTTCCATGGTCATCTGGAAAGCTCTCGCCATCAGCCTTGGTGGAACATTGGGCCTTGCCGCCTCCTTCTTCTTTGGGCAGTCCCTCGAAATATGCCCTTCTTCATTGCACCCATAACATAACTTCTTGTTTAATGTGCACTCATTATCATAGTGCCCAACCTTTCTACACTTAAAACATGTCACCTCCTCGCCACATTTCCCAAAGTGCTTCTTTTTGCACTTCTCGCACCACTTTGCTTCACCTCCTCCTCCTCCAAATTTCCTTGAACAGACTTCGAGAATTTTCTCTTCTTGTTGGACCTTGAAGATGCATCAAACTTCCTTTTCTCACCAAACTTAGCTCTCTCCAGACCCTTTTCCCTTATTTGGGTCTCAACATTCTTAGCTTCTCGAACAGCTGCTTTCAAGGTAGTTTCCATTTTGACCATTGGGCAAAAGTTCGATGGAAATCTGTTAGCAAACTTCTCTATTTTGGCGATTTCAGTAGGCACCAAGTAGGGAAATAAGTTCATTCTTTCGGTGAATACGGTTGCATAGTCATCAAAACTCATCTTCCCTTTCTTCAGGTTCTGAAACTCATTGTTCAGGTCTATCAGATCTACCTCCGAGTAGTATTTCATTCTCAACTGCTCCATGAAGGCTTCCCAAGACATCCTCAGGGCTTCTCCTCGTGGCATCGTATCTGCCAACAACTTCCACCAACATAAAACTCCAGTCTTTAGTTGTCTGACTTCAAAGACGGTCTTCTGTTTGTCGCTACAGTTGCAGCTTTCAAATACCATCTCCATCTCGGAGATCCAGTCCATAATCTCTACTGGTTTTGGGTTGCTAGAAAGACTCGGTGGTTTAGCACCCTAGAAGTTCTTATATATACGCCCATCCCTGTCATTCCCTCCATCTTGGTTATTCCTTCCAACCACTGGCGGTTCAGCTTGGCCAATGGTTCTGTCACAGTTTCCATCTTCTGAATGACCCTCGTTCAGTTCAGGCTGTTCAACAGGCACAGTAGGTTCTTCCCTATTATTCAGTAACATTTCCCTCATCTCTTCCCTCTGTTCGGCCATCATAGCCCGAATCATGGCTTGTACTCCTGCAATCGTGATTGGCTCAGGTGTAACTGCTACTTCCGGTGCATGCTCAATCACTTGGGGTTGAGGCTGCTGATTTCTATTTCCATTTGCGTTTCCGAATCCACTTCGGGTTCTTGCCATGTTGATCTATACAGCAAAGTAGGTGAATTTAGATCTTTGTTTACGATAGGCGTTTAATCCTCCTTGTTACTCCGAAAAGTTACATGCTAGTTCTAATATCGTGATCATATGTTTAGTATCCTGAACACATAAAGTTTCTAGATCCGGTCGACAACAGACCATAGATCCAATCAAATAATAGCATATAAGGCATCATTATAGCTAAAACATAAATCATTTAGCACATAATAGCAATTTAGGCATCTTTCCAAAAATAAGCTAGTGCTCGTGTCTAAAATGTAGCAGACACTCATCTCAAAATCATCGCTTAGCATTCTAAGTTTAAGTCTAGAAATCCTACAAATTCCTAGTTCGCTTAAACTAATGCTCTGATACCAACTATGACATCCTAAATTTCACAGCCAGAAAAGACCGATTTGTTTATGCTTTATGATAACGTGTCCTAGTGAACACGTAAAGTACTGCACCGACCGCGCCAGAACGCCCAAGGGCTTAGCGCGCCCGGCGGAACAGACCCAACAGAACCTCGCACCCGCTAAGCACCTCTAAGGGCAAGGCGCTCCCTCATAAAGGCTCGCGCCCGCTAAGGGCGCCTCCCACTCCAAGACAAAAGATACGGTCAGGCGACAAAGCAGACGATCAAGGCACTATAGCCAGAGCCAATAGCAGCGCTCTGACAGATAGAGGAACACGACCCTCCAATCAGCGCCCTTGATCCTGTCGCCTCTGGCGATCCTGTCTCGTACGGACAACCAGGAGCGCCTAGTATAAAAGGCTACACCCACAACCCCGACAGGTAAGTAGCCTTCTCCAAGTTACACTCCTAGAAACCGTAATTCTCCCAACTGACTTGACCGTCAGAGCGTTCTTCCGGGAGCTCCTCCGAGGAAACGGCTGACGGCCTTCTTTTTGTTGTGACCTTGCACGAGCAATTGAGTCATCAATAACGAAACTCAGAGTAACCGGAGACGAAGGTCACATCATTTGGCGCCATCCGTTGTGTGACGAAAAACACAACCAAAAGCACACTATTCACAAGAAAGAAATGGCATCAGGCGACAATGGAGGTTCCAGTGGGACACCGGCTAGTCCCATTCGGCCAATGGCGGCGTTAGAAGAAACGCCACCACCCATAGTGGGCGCAGGAGAGGTGCCAGATGAAGGTGGTTTGATGATGATCATCGAACCACCGAGAAGACAACATCAACCGGCTGACGAGGAACACCTTCCCTCCGCCGCCATCCAAACTACAATCATTCCGACGCAGATGCCTCAGCCATCACTTGCGCCGTCAACGGAAAACACACATGGCGTAACAACCGTTTTACCCCCACAGGCGACACCAATCCAAATGACGGTGCTCCCGCCGCCATTCTTTCAAACACCACCGCTGGGCCAAATGGCGACGACACAATAACCAGTTTCCCAGATACCACCACTGTTTAACCCGGTGGCGAGAGAACAACAAGCAACTCCTCAGGCGATGCCACCATTACTTCAGGCAACCGGTACACAATCAACATTTCCCCCGCCGTGGATAACCCAGACACCACCGGAAGCGCAAACGAACCCCTCAATGCCACCGCTAGCCCAAGCAATGACAACTCAAATGCCGGTTTTCTTGACACAACCGTTTCCAGCAAACACACCACTCTTTCCCGCAAAATCCTATTACCAACAGGCTTTATCGAACAACCTACACACCCAAAACCTGCCGATGACATACAACCACCCGTTAACATTGTCATTCCAACCACAAACATTCTACAGCCCGAACCCCGCTTACTACGCATCCCACAACAGCTCAACCATGCAACCACATGCAGCTGCCCAACAATACAACCTGCAAGGCATGTTGCCTATACCTAAACAAGACTATCTATCGCGTAGTGTGACGTCTCCATTCGCCAAGCAGCTGCTGGACTACGAAATTCCGAACACAGCTAAACTTCCCAACCTCAAAACGTATAATGGAACTACAGACCCAGACAGCCACATCGACACATATGAATGGACGATGACGTCACTCAAGCTGGACGAAAGATTCTGGTGCACATACTTTTCGACGACCCTAGACGGTAAGGCCGACGCGTGGTTCAAGACGCTCCGCCCAGGACGCATATACAACTTCGGACAGCTGAAATACCTATTCCTTACAAATTTCATGCAACTATGGAAGTATAAGGGGGATTCACACTCCATCATCGGCTGCAAACAAAAGGAAGGGGAAACAGTTAGGGAATACTTCACAAGATTCACAAACACCACACTAGACGTCCCAGGGCATGACGAGGGACTAATAGCAGGAGTCTTCACGTAGGGGCTCCTATCGGGCCCTCTATCCCAAAAATCATGGGTAAGAAACCATAGACGCGGAACGAGCTAAAAGAGAAAGTAGAGCGATACTTGAGACAAGATGAGAGGGAAGAAATGAAACAGACATACCTAAACACTATGACCACCCCCATGAAGCGCCACAGCCCACCTCATGCGGAGACACAACACAGGAACAGGCATTTTGGAAAGGAAAACGCATGCAAGGGAGTTTCCGACCATTCGCCAGAGATGACAGGTGAAGCCGATGGCCAGACGTCTACGTAGTCGTAGAATAACAACAGACAACGAGAATAGCGAAGTGACGATTTTGCGAGTATCACAAGAGCAAAACACACGACACCACTAACTGTTCGGTGTTAAAGAAGTAAATAGAGGAGAAACAGCTAAAAGGGAACCTCATTGAAATAGCATGAAGCCTCCGTGCCAAATTTGAAGGCGAAAACACCAAGGATGCAACAAAAGAACACACCCAGTCCAGGGAAATTCTCATGATACGAGGCAAACAGGAGAGGCAGGACGAGCAAGATCACTTGACAAGACCCACCACAACAACGCAAGGGCTCACATTTTCGATGAAAGACCCTCGACCCAAAGGCTGGAGAGGAGACAATCCACTCATAATTCAAGGATCCATTAAGAACGTGACAATCCACAGGAGAGCAAGAAGGCGCGGGTCGAGCTAGCAAATGGAAACGAAGTCATCCACAAAGAATACCCGGATCAACCGGTCAGTGTAGGAAGCAATCTCCCTGAACTAACCAGGCGCGCGATGGTCAATCTCTTGAAACAATATAAACATGTCTTCGCATGGACCCCCACCGACATGGTAGGGGTAGACCAAGAAGTAATAGAACATAAATTAATGATCAAGCAAGGCGCGAAGGAAGTTGAGCAAAAAAAAAAAGAGGGTTCAAGGGGGAGACCGGAATAGAGCGATCAATGCCGAAGTGGCCAAACTGACGAAGCCAGGAATCCTAAGAGAAGCAATTTTCCCAGCTTGGATTGCAAACCCAATTATGGTGAAGAAACATGATGGTTCATGGCGCATGTGCGTCGACTACTCAGAACTAAAGAAGGCATGCCCTAAGGACTGTTACCCCTTACCAGAGATCGACCAGAAGGTGGAGTCGCTACATGGGTTCAAGTTGAAATGCTTTCTGGACGCATATAAGGGATATCATCAGATCCTGATGAGCAAAGAAGACGAAGAAAAAACATCTTTTTACACAGACCATGGAACTTTCTACTATACCAAGATGTCGTTCGGGTTAAAAAATGCAGGAGCAACATACCAGCGACTAGTTGACTCCATATTCGCCAAACAAATCATAAGAAATATCGAGGTATATGTCGACGACATGGTTATTAAAAGCCCAGACGAAGGAAAGCTACTAGAAGACGTGGAGGAAACCTTCAAGATGCATGAAAAGGTAAAGATGAAACTCAATCCCAACAAATGCACTTTCGGAGTGGAAGAAGGGCAGTTCCTGGGATACTATGTGACCATGCTGGGAATACAGCCTAGCCCAGTCAAGGTAGATGAACTAATGGAGACTCTGTCGCCAAGCACTCTCAGGGACGCCCAGGTTCTGAATGGAAAGCTCACAGCTCTCAGCCGCTTCATCTCGAAATCGGCCGACAAAGCTCTGCCACTCTTTCACACACTTAAGGGATGTATTGAGAAAAGTAACTTTCAGTGGACAGCAGCGGCAGAAGCAGCCCTTCAGCAAATTAAAGAAGCCATACACAAATTACGCACACTTTCCAGCCCTGTCTCAGACGAATCACTGCAGATGTATCTATCCGCCTCAGCTGAAGCCATCTCATCTATTTTGGTAGTGGAAAGAGAAGGGAAACAAATGCCGCTTTACTACGTCAGTCGAGCATTACAGGGTCCCGAGCTCAACTATCCCACTCTGGAAAAGCTGGTGCTCGCGCTCATCTACGCTGCACGGCGACTGAGGCGCTATTTCCAGGCACATCAGATAGAAGTACTAACAAACTGTCCGATCAAGCAGATATTGCTCAAGCCGGAGACGTCCGGACGACTCGCAAAATGGGCAATCGAACTAGGCGAACACGACATCAACTATCGGCCACGGACAAGCATCAAAGGACAAGAACTCGCAGATTTCTTACTTGAGATCCCTGGGGAAGGGGAAGAAAGGAGCCAGGAAGGAACACCAGCAATAGGAGAAAAACCAAAGGATAACCAGAAATGGACCCTATACACAGACGGTGCGTCTAGTAGGGAAGGCTCGGGAGCGGGCCTAATCTTGACCAGCCCATAAGGGTAGGAAGTCACATACGCCCTCCACTTTGACTTCCACACATCCAATAACGAGGACGAATATGAGGCTTTACTCACCGGCCTACGATTAGCCAAGCAAATGGGGGCGAAAGCAGTGGTAGCTCTGACGGATTCATGACTCGCTGCCAACCAAATCAACGAGAGTTTTGAAACAAAAGACAAGAGAATGGAGAGGTGTGTCAGGATAGTGCGGCGACTCGTCAAGCCCTTCAAAGAATTTGTCATTAAGCAGATACCCAAAAATGAGAATAGAAGGGCGGATACCCTAAGCAAGCTGGCATCAACATGTTTCGACCACCTATCCAAAAAGGTCTTAGTGGAGGTGCTCAAAGAAAGAAGCATAGACGAGCGGCAGGTGAACACCTTGGAAACGTCCAAACGCACGTGGATGACCCCCCTGATCGAGTACCTACAGCATGGCATCCTACCGGACAGCCACGAAGAAGCCAGGAAAATACTCGTAAAGGCACCTTTGTACGTGCTTGTGGAGGGGGAGCTATATCGTAAGGGATTTACAACACCTTGGCTCAAATGTGTAGACGAAGCCAAGGGCAAAGAAACGCTCCAAGAAGCACACGCCGACCAGGAAAGTGCGCACGAGGGAGCACGTGCTTTGGTAGGAAAGGTGTTGCGTATGGGCATCTACTGGCCAACCACACATCAGGACACGACAGAATTAACAAAAAGGTGTGTGGAATGTCAGGCATACTCCCCGGTCCATGGGAATCCTGCAGCTCCCCTGACAATGATATCAAGCCCATGGCCATTTTAGCAGTGGGGAATAGACATCCTGGGACCATTCCGAGAAGCCCCGGGTAAGGAAAAGTTTCTGATCGTAGCAGTAGACTACTTCACAAAGTGGATAGAGGCTGAACCGTTGGCATGTATATCAGGGAGACAAGTAATTAAATTCATGTGGAAAAACACCGTGACCATATTTGGAATTCCAACGGTACTCATCAGCGATAACGGGCTACTGTTTGCCGAAAACCCATTTAAAGAATGGTGCACAGACAAAGCTATCACGCAAAGGTTCACATCAGTGGCACACCCTCAACCGAATGGACAGACAGAGGTGTCCAACAGAACGATCGTCAATGGAATCAAGAAACGTTTAGGAAAAGCTAAAGGTAATTGGACCGATGAACTACCAACGGTACTATGGTCATACAGGACAACGCCGAGAGTGGGCACATAAGAAACACCGTTCAGCCTGACATACGACGCAGAGGCAATGCTACCAGCAGAATTGATAGTGGGTTGGCTAACAGTGACCCATTTGAACGAAGAAGCCAACTCTTGAGACCTGAGGACAAGCCTGGATCTTCTCGAGGAACGACGCGAACAATCCAGCGTCCGACAAGCCGCATACAAGCACGCTGTTGAAAGGTACTATAACCAGCGGGTTAAGGAAAAAGCTTTTAAGGTGGGAGACCATGTACTAAGACGCAACGAAGCAAGCAGGGCTCAACCATGGGGCAAGCTGAGCCTCGTATGGAAGGGACCGTACAAGCTCATCGAAGCCAGTCGCAGCGGCGCATATACACTAGAAACGATGAAAGGAAGGAGAATTCTGAGGACCTGGAACGCGAAGAACCTGAAGAAGTTTTATTTCTAATTTGCATCTACAAGAAACGATCAATGCCAAAGACTTAAAGCGTTTAGGCAAATAACTCTATCCAAAACATCGTGGGGTCGAGCAGCATTCCTCCCCCACTTCAAAATACTCAGTGTATTGAAAAACGGGAGTCTCACCTATGATACTTAGCATATTAGCTCCAAAACGTTTAATTTCTTACCTTCAGATACTTAGTGTACTAATACTCAGTGTATTGGAAAAAGATAAAGGAACTATCAATGATGCTTAGTGTATTAGCCCAAAATGATTAGTTTTTCATTCTTAATACTAAGCGTATTAATGCAAAAATACTTAGTGTATTAGCCCAAAAATGATCAGTTTTTCTTAATACTTAGCGTATTAATTCAAATACTTAGTGTATTGGAAACAGACGCCCGCATCACAAACACTTAAGGACCAACACGGGCCACAGAAGCTTCAAAATACTTGCGCGAAAG